ACGACGCATTAAAGCTATGGTTTAGGGCAGCAATTTTACTTTGCCAATGATGGTTTACTGTGCCAAAGTCCCACAATGCAAAGCATTGCCCTGGTTTCACGCTTTCAGCCCAGTGCTGTCTAATGAAAACAGCTATAATGAATATGCACACTGGCCAAATCTATGGGCTGCGCTTGTTTTGTAAGAAGCAGCTGTCTTCATTCATACCTTAAAAGACATTGGACTTAGGAAAATAAGGTGGGGAAAAAAAAGAGGAAAAAAACCATTAGAATTACTCTTCCAGGACATCTCCCAAAAAGCATTGGTTTAAATGGGATGTTTTAACACCTATTTTCTATCATGCTTTTCACACTGTCAACTTTGAGCCACTTCTCCTTAAGTGTGAATATTTATTGTATTAACGTGCAGTTGCTAACTCAGCTAACTGATCTGCCCTTTAAAGCTAAATGAAGTATGGAGATACTGAATTGTTACCAATAATAAGCAGATATAAAAGCTTGTTGTAATTATACTAGCAAGGTATGACATTTTTCACTGGGTGTCCTAGATTGTTTTGCCAATATGAAGTCTTAAATCTATCATTTGTTTTGACGTACAGGTAGCAGCATTTAAAAAGGCCAGCAACAGAACGTCTTTCAAATTTGTGTCATACTTTGCCTCACTTATAAACTAACTGGAATTCTTCAGAACTAATCCTTTATTAAGGTGGTCAATAGGGATATTACTTTGTATTACTTTATTATTACAAACAATAGAAGCAACACCATTTTATATCTTAATTTGCATTTTGTTGCTATGTTTTCCACAGGAGTAAGATTATACTTCTCTTATTATGAAGCCTATCAAGTGGATTTTGACATGTAAGACAACAATCAAACTATAAGTCCTATTTTCCGCACTTAGGAGTTGTGCTGGTTTTGGCTGGGATAGAGTTAATTTTCTTCACAGTACCTAGTATGGGGCTATGTTTTGGATTTGTGCTGAAAACAGTGTTGATAATACAGGGATGTTTTCATTATTGTTGAGCAGTGCTTACACAGAGTCCAGGCCTTTTCTGCTTCTCACACCACCCTGCCAACAAGTAGGCTGGGGGTGCACAAAAAGCTGGGAGGGGACACAGCTGGGACAGTTGACCCCAACTGACCAAAGGGATATTCCATACCATATGACATCATGCTCAGCATATGAAGATGGGGGAAGAAGAAATAAGGGGGGACGTTTGGAGTTATGGTGGTTGTCTTCCCAAGTAACCCTTACACATGACGAAGCCCTGCTTTCCTGGGGATGGCTGAACACCTGCCTGCCAATGGGAAGTAGTGAATGAATTCCTTGTTTTGCTTTGCTTGTGTGCGCGGCTTTTGTTTTACCTATTAAACTGTCTTTATCTCAACCCACGAGTTTTCTCACTTTTACCCTTCCAGTTCTCTCCCCCATCCCACCATGGGGGGAGTGAGCAAGCAACTGTGTTGTACTTAGCTGCCAGCTGGGGTTGAACCACAACAGGAGTCAAGGGGAAATTTTTCATCTTGACTCAACAACAATCTCCACTGAAGAAGCCCTGAGCAAGACCAGGGGTTTTCTTTATATATTTTTGTATTTCCTTTAGGTTTCCTTTATATCTGTGGGTTTCCCAGATATAAATTTGGATGCTGTTCACTTTCCTTAAAGAGTTTAGAAGGAATAATTAGCTTCTGGCTATGAAGTTTTTCAATGTTATAAAATACAGTCTAAATGCTTAACGTTGTTAGTGAGCACTGTTGATTGCTTAGGGGTTGATACGACTTACTTCTGCACTGAGGCAGTCTGTGCAAGGAGTTTGTGCAGTAAGTACTGTCCCATGGGAAGAGCTGAGGAGAGCAGAGTTTGAAAGCCACATCAAATGTCACGTAAAAAGTGAGTAGTTAGCACACTGATAATCTACAGTAGTGGTGGTATAATGTTATGTTTATTGTTTTTATAATCACCAATAAAAGCACTAACTGAAAGGTTTTCCCAATGTGGCTTGCATAAAGTGTTATTCAGACAGTACAAGCAGATGGTAATTTTTGTAATTCTCATCTTACTCAAATGCAGTCTGTTTTACCAGGGGTTTCTAAATGTATGTGATTAACATTTACTCTTGCACACACACAAATACACAGAAATGACTGAAAAGCCTGGAGAGAGACAAGGTCTGGCATCGTCCAGAAAGTAGTGAGCTATGATCAAGCTCTGGCAGAGCTCTTCTTCCCTCACTGCCCTGCTTGGTATTTTAGTGTTGGGCTTACTTCTCATCATCCAGTATGTGGCCTGTTTTGAACTAGAGATATCTAACAATACTCCCATGAAGCAGATATAGACAATTCTCATTTCAATATGATACAAGTGAAATGTGGGTTTAGACTTCCACCAGTGACCCCCACGTTTTTTTAATAGATATTGCTAGAATTTAAGACATAAACACATAACAATGTCCTACAACAGGAAAAATGGGCACACATGAACGCTGCGCTCAAAAGAAATCTTTGATGCCTCTACCTGATACAGGACTGCTATCTTACTCCCTCCTTCCTGAAATGACCAGGTTGGAGAAAGAATATTTGCTGTAAACCTGACTTATGTTGGTTTATTATTTTCTTGTGAGTTACAGCCAAGCTCCAAATATGCATCAGCTAGAAGTCTCTAAGCCCCTCCGACTTCACAGGAATTCTGCACATACAGAAAGGAAAGACTAATCAAATCTTTAACGGATTAGACAGACTAATCAAATGGCAATAACCAAGGAACTGAGGATGAAAGTTCTGCTCTGTAACAGCTTCTTTCAGTGACCTTAGGCAAATCCCTTAATCTGTGTGGCTTAGTTTCTTTGTGCAGTCACAGGTATAGATGAGGAAAACATATTTAATCACCACAAGGTCATCAATTGTGGTGGTAATAAAGACCACACAAGCATCTATGATAGACAAATAACTATGCATGCTAGGTTGCTATTTACTTTTTAGAGGTGGGAGAGTTAAAATTATTATAGATGTACGGAACTGTTCAACACAACTCAAAAGGCTCATAATTGGAATTCTTGAGGTTCACTGTGAACTCAAAATTAGTCTCACCTATTTTAAGCCCAGGATGAAATAATTTTAATAGGTAGGGACAACATTTTCATTAATTTTTTCTACTTTATAGAACTCTCTCTTAGCACCCATGTTACTTTGTGGAAAAACTTTTGTAATCAAAATAATTTCAATATAAAATACAAGCACAGAAAAATGCAGAAACGATGCTAACAAGAATAATAAATATTCCTTATAATTTATTATCTCATTACCTCTTAGAGTGAGGAAATGAGTACTTTAATATGGGGAATTTGGACAATTTGGGGAATTTTCTAGCAATAAAATAACTGAGGAAGAACGTCTTTTTTAGATGAGAAATGGTGCTTTAAACAATGTCCATACTCTTGCATCCAAAGACAGACAATAATAGTGAATATGAAGGGGGGGAACCTACCATTGCATGTCTCTTCATCTGCATCTCTATCTTCCAAAGCTAAGTACCTGTCGACCTGCTATAAAAACCCCAAATTGGAAAACAGATTAAAATGTATTAATTCCATTTTTTATAGTACAATCTAGAGCAACGCAAAAAAGCATTACATTGTCTCCTTCATCTTCTCCATTCTCCCCTGCATTTTTCCAAGAAAGCATATGGATTTCCTTTGAAATGCATAACTCAAAGGAAATACTTTTACGTATAGGCAAAGTATTGCTGCCAAAACTGCTGCATATCAACTACAGTGATGGGAAAGAAGCTCAAGCTGTACAACAACTTTTTCATGAACTTAGTGGGAAGATGGAGAAGTAAAATATTTTCATAGGAAAAAGATACATGGTAAGTTGCTCTGCAGTTTTGCAAGCTTACTGCATATGGCACAGAGGCAATACACACTGTAGGCAAAGTACAGCCTGATCCTTCTGTTTTGATACTAATGGTGAACTGAATGGGAAACAAAAAAAGCTAAGAATTATTAACTTTTTAGTATTTCATCTGGGACATTGCATTACTGTTTTTTTCAGGCTGATGTTCCTTCAAAACGGTCTAAACTATCTGAAACATACCACAAGAAAAGACATTTCCTATTTCAGGTCTGAATAGATGCATAGGGTAAGAGCGAAAGGCCTTTCCCAGCCTATGTGCAAACAGTGTTACCATGGAGGATTTACTATATGTACTGGGTAGTCTTCTGTGTTTCCATTCAGTAATTAGAGATGCTCTTAGATAATTTTTTCCAACCTGATTTGACACCATTCTCATCGACACTTACATAACCTTTACACTTTAAAAGTACATACTCGTTAACATTTGAAAAAGAAATCTGAATGGTGATGCTCTCATCCTTCTTTCCCACAGATGGGAAAGAAATACATCAACAAATCACAGTACTTTGTAAATGAATGAAGCAAAAATCAGTCATGTTCTACTTATAATCCCTACTTGGAAGAAAATCAAAGAAAACCTCACCTTCACTCTTTCAGACAGACAGAGATCATTTCCATCAGAGCCACCAGCTTTCCAGCTCCCATTCATCACTGTCTGTAGATACATAGGCAGAAATACTTGTATGAAATGTATGAAACAGGACCAAAATCACAGTCAAAGCGCCTACTGATTTACACATACAGGTCCTTTATGGTGTATTTAAAATTTTTAAAAAATTGAATGTAATGCTCCTGAAAATAGAACGTATGCAGATAATCCTCTGAAATCCTGCACAGGACCAGACCGAATCAATTGGAACAACAGTGCAAGTAATTATAACAATCCTAAAAAGCAGCATTTCGAACAGAAGCATTGTTTTCAATAGCAGTTTTTTCCCTCTTTGCTTTCCTCAGGGCAGGCTTAAAGGTTACAGTGGCCAACTTACTGCATTACAGCCTCCTCCTGCTACGACACCAGCAATTTTTCTGATGCATTCTACTATTACTGTATTTGTTTCTTAAACTGCTAATGTGACAAGAATGTGCAGCCATGCCTGAAACTTTTTTCCTGTAGCAACAAAGACAAGTATTAAGATGTTCCATTAAATAAAGGATAATGGAAGTTGCACATTGCTTTATGGGGCAGAAAGCCAATTCAAAGTGGCTAAAGACAGACACCCAAAGGCAGTCTATCCCAATGAGGCAATCATATTCTTCAGGAGAAAAATGGCAAAAAGATTCTTGTCATTATTATTATACAATCAATTGACAGAATGTGATTGTTTTAAAAGCCTTGCTTAATTCCACATTAAAGGCATGTGCTAGTAGGGAGGAAAATGACAGCTTGTGCTCTTTGACTGAGGCCTGGCAGGACCATCATTTGAAGGGACTTAAAGTATATTGCTCTGTGTATTGCACAAAATGACCCGCTACTTCTTCTTTAATAAAAAGTTTAATGAAGTGAATTTTTGAGTACAGGCTAGATGACAACTTAGTTATTTGTTATTCAGGCAGGAGGGCAGAAGTTCTTAACAAGTGGACTCAGATTTCCATCCAGCTCTCTCCAGAAGATGTCTGTTGTTTTCCTGTCCCTACATACGAAATCTCTAATCTCTTATGTTTCAGAAGATCAAAAATGCCTCTGGCCTGCCTACTGCTTACTTCAGGTAGCTGAAGCAATCTAGCTTCAGTAGCACAGGATCCAGTACTTGCTAAAAACCCCAAGAAACAAAACAAATCTGTGCACTCTGTGCATCCACACTTTCAAGACTTTTTCCTTTTTGCCAAACTCTACTGTTAACGACAGTCTTCAGTGAAAGCATTACAAAGGTCCTTGCAGAGCACCTTATTTATTAGTCAGATTATGGCAGCTCTTCAGTAGAGCAAATGCCACTGCCAAACGTGATCCCTGCAGGTGCCTCTCTAAGCATTATACTCTTAGGTAGTATTTTAAATATTTGCCTCGGATGGGATAAATACCACCAGCCTCTAACATTTGGACAGTATATCTCCCCATATTTTCAACTGTTTGAATGTGGTGCTTGTCCACATGGACAAATGTTAACTCATTACCTCATTCTCATTTGGTATCTGTGGTGGAAGACACCCCCACATTTCTTTGCTTCTTCCAGGTAAGACATCCTGTTTATTTATGTTTGATAATTCTGAAGTAGAAAATGTTTTTCTTAGGGAGTCCACTTTACTTCCTTGAATTGTCTTCTCCTCTTCCTCTGCAAGGAGAATCACACCAGATGAGATAACATAATGCACTATCCAAGAAAAAGAAAAATGTGAATTTTATTAGATCTAATATTGACTTATTTTATACATTCACTTTTCCTCTCATGCTCAGAGCTTCCATGTGCATCATATACATGTATTTTGCAATCTTTATCATGAAACCAAATATGCAGTTTGAACTTCAAGTGCACAGAGTATCATCTATTCCTCAATACTGAAGAATTCATCGTCTCAAAAGCTTACACAGAAAACTTGATAAAATAACCCGAGAGCTGAAAATACCCTAAAAAGCAAGACAAGTAAGTTGTTAGTTAGGTTACACCTTACTTTTTATTTAAAAACTGTGTTTAAATGCTCTCTGAATGCTGCACAATATGGCATATAACATTTGTGCCCATGCCTTCATCTGGCACTGCAAACACCAGCACATACGAAGAGAGTCTCTTCTTTGTGACACCACTATAAACCTCATTGCAACTGCACGTACTCAGTAGAGCTATTTTAGATGTAATCTTTCAGAATCAGAACCAGAAACACCCCTCATTCCCCAACACCAACACGCGCTCCCAACACTTACATGTCTAGTTTTAGAAGTCCAGCAACTGTGTTTATGCGAGATCTGTGCTCACAAAATCACTTGATATCTTAAGCAGTTCAAGTGCACATATTCCTTCACATACCAACCAATGGTGTACCTTCTTATCAAGCACAAGAAAGGACTCTGATTTTGATCATAGTATAGTGATGATGTGGTCCAAAAATGGAGTAGTTCTTGTATTTCCTACCTCAGTATCGTGGTATCACCCTGTTTACACTATCACCCCAAACATGTGCCCCATGTGTGAACCTCACAACCATTAGAGCAAACGCCCATGTTGTCTAGTATAGAAGTGAGCCTTGGCAGTTCTTGTCAGAGCTGACACTGATACTGGCTGTGAGTCTGCCCAGGGTCAGCACCCACAGAGCTCTTGGGTGCATGAGCACCACTGCCAGAATCTCCACCAGTCCAGGACATGTGATGAGATGCACTGACAGGTCCTATAACCTAGCCCCTGTATCTTTAGTCAGTAAAACACCTCATTTGAGCTGATTTCTTTAGCACTGCTGCTTTCAGTGTTTAACAACTGTAGTAAGCTCTTGACTTAGCTTATTACCGATTTCATTTCCTCCTTGTATCAGCAATCTAACTGGGTGGGAAAATTTTGCGAGTAAATATTTTTTTATTGGGATCAGACTAACAACAGCAGTACACCAGTGATATTTAATTTCCAGAAGTTTACATCCTGAGATTAAAGATTAAGTTCAGATGTTCAAGCAGGGTTTGTTCCCTTAGGGGATTCCTTTGGTCTTGAAAGACACTGGAAAAATGTTTTGCCAATGCATTGACAGAAGATTGGAATAACTTCTCTCATGTTTATTTTATATATCAATAGTGACTAACTGGGCCCTCACTGAAAATAGGGAAGTATTCAGAACTGAGTCTTTCAGTGATAGCTTGTGACATCTTTCCGACCTTTAACAACTACGTGGACAACAAGAGCAAAGTTAAGACAACTATTATTGCTTTGACTGTCCTACCAGCCAGGTCTATGGGGCACGGAACAGCCAGCAGAATTAGGATACAGCTAGGTGATCATCAAATGAAATCTGAACAGTACAGAGCGGATCTAGGAGCTGATTACAGATCAGGACAAGTATGTGCATGGAAGTATGTATTTCTGAACCCATGCTGAATAGTTTTTTTCCTACAACATGGAAAAAAATATACTTATATATCATAGCCAAAATAAAAGTGCAGGACTTTTTATTATAAAAGTCCCATTATCAAATATGGAGCAGCTATAGGACAATCAATTCAAATGAACTTCACACCACATGTTCTTAATGAAAAATAAATGCTCATTTAACATAGTTTCTTGGGTTTAGTTTGAAAAATCTACTTTGTAACAATAAGAAACACTGCAGTGCATTTCTAAAGCATAATTATATGTCACAGGCATTGAAGTAATTATTGTGAAGAGTTTTAATGATGCCTTTGGGGTTACTACATTGACCCATCCACCAAAGAGTTATTAATCCCCAGAGACAGCTCTGTGGTGCAGTTACTATGACATATAGAAAGGGCTGGCAGTCTGGGCATAACCTGCAGTCCACACTCATAAGAGTCAAGGTTCATAGAAAGTAAATTGCACCAGACCAGAGCAATCTAGCAAACACATTTTAATGCTCAGACCACAGATGGATGCTCTGAATAATTCCTAAATCTCAGGTCTCGATACGACATCTGGCTTCTCCCTGCTTTTTTAGCAGGTACTTTCCTAAAACAATATTTGGAAACAGCAGTACATATGGACAATCTCTTCTTCCTACACACTCTTTTTCAAGCCATGGAAATGAAGCAGTATTACACAGGAAACCCTCTTTTAAATTCTTGACAGGTAAAATGGTCACCCACTATTTGAAGAGATTTTTACTGTCATCCTACTACATAGGAAGAACTAGATGACTAGCTTAAAAAGCTTCAATCTTTTGTTATTGTAGTGGTAAAACAGGATGGACTTCCTGTTTTATACTAAGAACTGACAAGTTTGATATTAAAGACTGACAAGCCACAAAAGGATATTAATGTATTTTAGGGTATGTGTGTATTAGCAAATTATGCAGCCAAACATGCGCAGACTGAGGACCCAGTATCCTCCTTGTGCACATCAGGAGCCTTTATGTATGAGAAGTGAGAAAAAGCTTCTGGAAGCCATACACATACAGATCAACAGAGAGACAAAAGGCATCATTAGGTGGAATGATCAGCAATATAATTCATACAGCTGAAAGACTCTGAATAAACATGATATTCCTGCACAAGCCCATGCCTATCTTGGATACCACTGTGGTCATTCTTCTGGGATATAAATCAGATCATCCATCCTTCTCCAAAATATAGGTTCTGAATTATCAAAATCACTTTTAGCATCAAAAGACTTATGACACACAGTTGGGCAGTTATAATTAGACAGCACACATGAGCTGATAAACTTATTTTATTAGGTTATATATTTTCTGGACAGCTGAGCTATTGTCACAGTTAAAAAGCTAGACAGATTAAATGAGCTAATAAGAAATCAAGTGCATTCATACTATTTATGTGCTATTTACCAACCCCAGACTACAGCTAGAAGCACCATCCCTTTTCCTAAGAGATCCGTCATAAACTGCTGTCAGAAACTTTTTTCTGGTAAAGACCATTGCAGAGTTATTAGGTTATAGAATATTAAACATTATATTTGATGAAACATTCACAACTGCAATGTGATACTAGATTCATGACTGCAAGTGAAGAAAACTTCAGACAGAAAAGAAAAAAGTCTAAGCAACTCAAAGCAGTTGTGAAATGCATGCTGCGGACAGAGTATCAGCTCTGCAACCATGTGCGTAATGAGGCTATGCCACATAAATTGGAGGCAGGGAGATGACTCAAACATTACGTTGCTAGCCTCAAGCACAGTCCCTCAGAGCCAGTCAGATCCACCTTTAGATGTCCAAAGTAACTACTGATAGCTATAGTTTCTCAATGCATGCATCACATAACTGGCTCTCTTTAAGCAGTAACAGTCATGATCTTAAAAAACATTATTAAAAACAACACAGTCTGCAGAGAAATATCACAGTTCTATTCCTTTGACAGTGTTCTGAATTTCAACCATTCTGTACTTACTTTTGAAAGAGAAGGGGAAGGAGGAAGGATCACATTTAAGCCAGCAAGAGGATCACTCTACCTTCCCCCTGACTAAGTGATAATTGACTCATTATTCACAGTCACAGTTCTCAACCTGCGAAGACCCAGATGTACAGCACTGGCCTTTACAACATGTGACAAAAGTCCAAAATAAGGGATACAATCACAACAGAAAGTAGCAGAAGGAGGAGGCTGAAATGATGGAAAGATTCACATATTTACTCAGTTTTTCAGTCTTACTTTTTAGAAATTCCACTGTCAGTACCTTAACAAAGAAGTAACAAGCCAGCTTAAGTCTCTAGAAAAGTAAATCTGGGTCTCTCAAGTGTAGTATCTGTCATAATTGTGTATCACTGAAAAGTATGTTGCAGACTTCAGAAACATATTTCTATCAGAAAATATATCCAGCTTGATAATTTTTTTTCTCTCCCGCTATCTATCCTCTACATTGTTTAAAATTCTCTTTGTCTTCCAATTTGGAAGGGAATCGTTTTAAAATGTCCACTGATCACCACATATTTCAAAGAATAATGGAGTCACTTATCACAAAGCCAGAGAAGAGAGCTACCAGGATGATCAGGAAAAAACTCCTGTCGGTGAAATCTGTTAGATGAAATAGTAGCTCCAGAAGGATGATAGAAGTCTCATGGTTTGAAACATTTCAAAGCCAGACCAGATGCAGCAATCAATAACATACTGTAGAAAACCTAGCTTGGGATAATATACTGGACAAACCAATACAAACTATGAGGTATTTCCGACCTTTTTTCCATTCCATGAATTCATTCCAAAACCAAAAATTGGATGAGAATGAGAAACAGGCTCCTTTAACTATAACAAACAAAACAAAACAAAACAAAAAAACAACCAGCAAAGCTACTACTGTAAGTTCCAATTTACTTCTTTGTCCTCAAAATGCTGGACTGAGGGCCAGCAAAAAGCCTGTGAATCCCTTATATCCCTTCCAAGTTATGCTTTGATGGAAAACCTGGGTTTCAAATAATACAGTGACTTTGTGCAGGAATCCTGAACAAGCAATAATTTTGCTCACAGTAGCATGATAACTCACTTGCACAGAGGTCACAAGTACAAATTTCATGTTCATTCACTATCTCCATTCTTCAAACACATCATCAGCAAACAGCCACATTTTAAAACAAGAACAAACCCTGTCACTGAAATGTTTCCATAAAATATCACTTTGAGATGTTCAAAAGACCATAATATACTGTAGAAGTACCTTTATTTACCTATTTG